TACTTTCTCCTAGGTAGATCGTGTACAACCCGTTTTACCTTCCAAGCATTTGCTTCCGTTAAATGTTAACTAATTCTACATTTAATTAACCACGACTCAAAGCTTCGTAGCGTGTTATTTCTAATCTCAGAATTGCAACTTTACATCGGACGATTAAATAACTTACCCAACGTGACTGCTTAACTGTACATATACCTTGATATTATAATTGAGGCTGTTGATCGGGCATGATTCTTTCTTAATTAAATCCTCTATTCCTGCTACCGTCTGTAATTAACTAGAGCCATTGATCTCGATTCCGATCTCTGCGATTTAAATCATCCATGACGCGGTGAGGAAGGAATGAATTTTGCGATAAGCAAGTGAGCAAAATAACGTTCGAGATCCTACGGGAATGATAAATTGCAAAACCTCGAATCGTAATAAGGACTCGCGCCGAGACGATCGATCACTATTAATAAACGCGTGTCCGCACGCCCATCGATGGATCCGTCGATCGTCGATGGAATTAATAAATCCCGAACCGCGGCCGCAATTAATGGGCCGTGTCAGTCGACACGTTGAATCGTTAACTCGGATTCATTCATGACGTTACGTTAGTATATGCGTACTCGAATTTTCGAATCGAGAGCAATTAACGACGGGGGAAGCTTCGGCGTGTCCTCGGGTTATTTTACGGCTCGCCATCGGGCATGGCAAATTTATGGTTTCAGCTGGACACGTTTGCACGCGATGCGAGAGAAACGGGGAAACGATACTTTATTTTATACTGTGTCTGCGTATTTGCCGCGGAAACTATTTTTAAATGAAACAGAATGGGAATATTGCATAAGGCCAACAGCTGGATTGGCAATAGAATTACAAAATCGAGCTATACTCTACCAACTCATTGAGTTTGGTGAAAGTCCCGTTATGATTTAATTTCCTCATTAGATATAAAAAAAAAATACAAATCATTGTAAAAATTAAATGAGAGTAGGTAGTAAAGAATCTATTGTTTAGGCGAATTTGAGGACAACAAAACAATTTGCAGTCCAATTACAAAACAGTATTGAGTGACAAACAGGGAATCAACTGTGTACCATCGAGTTTAGCGCTTTGAGGGCAAGTGAAGCGACACTGCGTGATCACGGGAAAGGGCCGCGGAGGGTTTTAATCGGGTCGGGGAAACACGAATCGCCGGTACCGGCGTGCAAAGTCGTAAAACACGTGCGACCACGTAGTTACGTAGGTGGGGGACATATGGCGAACCTCTGGCTAAATATAGAGAACACTTTTATGGAGCACGGTCGTGTTACCGGGATCCACGGGACGATCCACGATCCCCGATGCCCTTTATCCGACGCGAGCGCGCGCCTCTCATTAGGCTAGCGTAGTGTTATCTAGACGGTCGGATCGCCATGATTTCGCGAAGCCAATTTTTCATCGAAATCGTCGTCAAATTCTTTAATTTTAAACAAGCTTCGATCTCAATTTTATCGTTTTTAGTTCAATTTTATTGATATTTAGATACACAGTGCTGTTTACTTGGATAGCCTAATAATTTTTACAAAAATTCTTTTCTTCGATATAAGATTACATGCGTACATCAGTTTTCGGCTATTCAAATTCAGAAAACTGTATAGTATAGTAAATAAAATGTATTTATGACTGTACGTCGAAAAATGTTGAATTTGCCTCTACGGAATCTATTTAAAATAAATGGTATTGTTTCATATTATTTACGTAAGAGGAAGGTATGCTATGTTGTCCAACGTGGAAGATTTAACTAAACATGGAATGTATCTCCAATATTAATTAGATATTATATGATTTCGCTCGGATTCATTTTAACGAGCTAAATTGTTACACAAGGTAAATCGTGACAAAGGAACAATCAAAGCCTAATTTGTTTCTAACGCAAGACGTCTTAATTTAATTGGGACATCCCGAGTAGATGAACGTCAACGTCGACGTGATCGTTCCGTCAAGGTTCACGTGCGGCCGCTGAGTGGTGCCTTTGTTCAACAACGGATCACAATAAAGCTTCCGACCATGAGTACGATCCGCTTGACTGGCCGTGGAAGTCGAGGAAACAACGACCGAGGAAGTGTACCGAGCCGAGGGTTCAAGGACAACAAAGGGAACTCTCTTGCAAATCGACCCTCGTCCTTAAATGAAAAACCGTCCCAAGCAATAATCCTCCCTCAGTAACAGAGATTAAAGATAAGAAAAGATCTGTATCTAAGAATTTTTCTTTTGTAAAATTTTCTACGACTTGAATAAGCAATAATTTCATTGTCAAAAAA